CTCAGCATGCAAGAAAACCACACTACCAATCAAGATCAGTGGGGATGGAGTGGCAAAAAAGGTGTGTCCTACCCTATCAGGAAATACATGAACTTCATAAAACTTCACACCTCAGAAAGAAAACAAGTACAGTAATTAGTACTTGAGTAACACATGTAGCACATTTTGTTGTTCCTTAAAGCTATGGTAGCCCTACTTTAGGGATTACAAGACAACTTTCATGCATTTGCTGCCTCAGCATGCAAGAAAACCACACTACCAATCAAGATCAGTGGGGATGGAGTGGCAAAAAAGGTGTGTCCTACCCTATCAGGAAATACATGAACTTCATAAAACTTCACACCTCAGAAAGAAAACAATTACAGTAACTGTACTTTTGTACAATTCTGCAGTAATTGTGATATAGAGAGATCAGACCACTCTTGTTGCATTTTCAGCTTCTTAAAATCAAAGTTGTTTCTGAAATAAAGCCTTGCCTGACACAGAGATGAAATTATGATAAGAGTAAGCATAATTAGTTTTCCAGACTGAATATGGACAAACTGAGTCAGAGTGAAAAAACAAACTCTGCAAAGATGAGCAAACAGCAGCTCATTCATTAAATGACACCATCTGAAAATGACACAAAGCAAAAACGAGAAAACTGGATTAGAGATTTGGCGTAACTCTCACATTTCAGGTATTCTTAGAACAAATCATTTAGGGAGATTCTGCATTCTCCTTTATTTACTCATTAATGTGTAGCTGAAACAAGGTGGGAACTTTGTTTTGCAGCTCATCAGATTCCCATCTTTTAAATATCTATATAATATATCTATGTGTTTGTGTGTGTTTGTGTGTGTAAACAATATAAATGGACAGGTAACACAATCTCACACCTTTCCCTGACAATGCCCTTTGGATTTTAGGCAAAGTGAGGTTTTCTGCACATTCATCTCCTCTACTTGAGAAGAGGCCTTGCCTAGAATTTTTTAATTTCAGGACCATTATATCCATGTATAGTTTATATGCTGGCTTGGTCCAAGGATTTGGCTACCTCCAGATTGTAATCTTAGTGCATTCACTTCTTCTGGAGGATCCTCCAGAATATTTTGGAGTAATTGAGGATCACGATGGTTGGGGGGTTAAGGCAAATGGGTGAGGCCAGACATGAGGAGAGTTTTCCTGCTTTGTACAAAGAGTTTTGAGGACATTTGTTGTTCCTTAAAGCTATGGTAGCCCTA